TAGCCACCCTGACAGTGAAGTACACTCCTGATGTCTAGTCTGAATCTACCCTCTGCCAGCTTGTGACTGTTATTTCTAGTCACTCCTGGTAATGCTCGGGGGAACAGGGACTCCCCCAGTGCCTGCTGGTCCCCTCTGACTAGTTTGTAACAGGCCACTAGATCCCCCCTCAGCCTTCTCTTGTGGAGGCTGAACAGGTTCAGGTCCCTTAGCCTCTCCTCGTAGGGCCTTCCCTGCTGCCCCCTGAACATGCAAGTGACCCTCCTCTGGACCTTCTCCATGTTGTCCACATCCCTCTTGAAGTGCAGTGCCCAGAACTGTATGCAGTACTCCAGCTGCGGCCTGATCAGTGCCGCATAGAGGGGGAGTATCACCTCTTTGGACCTGCTTGAGACGCATCTGTGGATGCATGACAAGGTATGGTTGGCCTTCCTGACTGCATCCCCACACTGCCAGTCCATGTTCATCTTGGCATCAATGATGACTCCAAGATCCTTTTCTGCCTCTGCACTGATGAGAAGGGAGTTCCCCAGCCTGTACGTATGCTGCTGGTTCTTCCTCCCCAGGTGCAGCACCTTGCAACTGTCAGTGTTGAAACCCATCCTGTTCTCATCCACCCACCCCTGTAATCTGTCTAGGTCTGATTGCATGTTATGTTCTACTTGCTTTTTGTCCTTGTTTATTTTTTAGTGATGGTAATAATAACAAGTTTAACATTCTCTGCTTCTGTAAATAGTCTTGCCAGTAAACTCAATCATAGGAACTTTTCCAATAAGGAAAGTAAACATTAGGCCTGTGCGAAATTTTGCCGACTGTTCCATTTCGATGCTGTTTTGATTCATTTTGAGTTCAAAACAGCAAAATTGGAATGAAACAAAAGGCTCTGAAAAAGGCTTGAAGCAAAACAAGGGCAGTCAAAACATTTCAAAAGTTTTGAAGCTGAAGCTGGGCTTGCCTGCAGATAAACAGAAAGTAAGGAGAGGGAGGGGAAAGGACTGCTCTGATATTGACTGCAACTGTTTGGCTGCCTGAGATGCTGCCGTTGCTACTGTGCTACTGCTTACTACGTTATTACCTGTTGTCATTTAAAGTGGTGGACCAGGGTGAGGATGTAGGGGAGGAGGAGGCCTCATTGGGCAAACTACGGTATCATGTAGAGGCCCCAGCACCAGTGAGGGCATGCCTTTACGCACACACAGTCACACGTCACGAGTTTTGCTTGTCAGCAGCTTGCAGTGCAGCTTCCCCAAAACCCCTGCATCTATCTCCTTGAAACTTGGCAGGCTTCATGGTATTGGAAGGGGCTACCATCTCTGCTGTTTTCATCCAAATCTGCCAAAAAATGACAAAGTTACAGGCAGTTCTGTGCTTCACCATTATAGCATATGGGCGAAATGTCGAAACAGTGTCAAAACAGCAAAACAGTTTCAATGAAACAAAATGGAACAGTGCTTTCAAAACAAAACAAAATTTGAAAGAAAACACTGTCCCGTCAAAATGGCAAAACAGAAGTCAAAAGAAAACGGTGGTGTTTCGCACAGCCCTAGTAAACATTATAAACTCAACTTACCATTTATGTATTTTTTTGGTGTGGTATTCATCTCATACATGTTATCTAGTTCAATTCAATTCAATTACCAAGTCAGTCCTCAAAGTTTTATATGATTCTGAAACATGAGAGGTGCATGAAAAATATCTACATATACTTTTGCAAAAAGATTTAGGATTCTGAATTAGAATGCAATAAACTATACCAATCACTGCTAAATAATTAAGCATATACATAATGTATAATGAAACACATTGTTTACATCTAAAATGACATTGGACAAATTATTACAAAATGTAGGAAAATACATTCTATTTGTAATTCTAATTAAATACAATGCAGCAATTGTAAGTTAACAAATATAAAACAAAAACATGCACACGTAGGGATAAATTCTTCTCAGTTACACTGTTGTAAAATCTGATAAATTCTTTGGTGCTTCACTGCATAGATATACATATGAACTGGATTATTTGACATGTTTGCCTGTAATATGGGATAGAACTGTATCCAAGAGGTTCTTATGAATTTACATTAGTGTAACTTGGTCTGGTCCACATATTATAATTACATGTTAAATCTGTGGTATGATGTACCTTGCCTCATTCCTTTAACTATTCTATTTTCTTATGCAAATTGTTGGATGACAGGCTTCAGTTTCCTATTTGTAGTTACCCTCCATATAAAGCAAAGCATTTGTACTCATTTATGGACACATTGCTGATGGTTCATTGGCATCTGGTTAGTCGCATGCAGCCTGAGCCAAAAGCCACTGAAGTAAATGGAAACTTTCTCATTGACTGCAGTGGGTACTGGCTCAGCCCCACATAATGGTTCCTCTTCAAAATGCATCAAAACACAGCTAAAATATATTAAATGGGCTTCATATAAAGACTGCCTTATAAAGAATTGCTGTAGTGGACCATCTGTTATATGACTGAACAGAAAGAGAAGAAGTCTGAGAAACATTTTAGTAACAATATATGGGGTGAATGATAAAAAAAATTTAAAGTTTTCTAGAACAGTTTTCTCCTGGGAATATGCCCCAACATGTTGTGCTTTGTTCTGAGTTCTCATAAAAAGTCATGACATTCTCTACTCACATTCTGAGCAAATAATAATATTGGGAGTGATTACTCCATAATAATTTTAAAGCAAATTATTACTCTATAATAATAAAAGAAAATAGTATCTATAATAATAAAAGACAATAGTATCCAAACCAATACTGGACATAAAAGAGATTATGCTTGTCCCTATACTGTTTCTCACATTCGCCTAGTTCAATGGTTTTCAACCTGTGGTCCACAGATCCCTGGGGTTCCACAGACTATGTCTATGGGGTCTACAAAAGATGGCTATGATCAATTAAAAGTATGTGAATACTCACACTTACAATTCAAAGGGGTCTGCACCTCTATTGGAAATTTTCAAAGGAGTCCGCACCTCTTTTCAATTTTTTTAGGGGCCCACAAATGAAAAAAGGTTGAAAACCACTGGCCTAGTTTCTTTTCAAATCAATATTGTTGAATGTAATGGGGCCAGACATTCCTGCTCTACTTTTATGGTTCATCCATTCAGTGGCTTTTGCTGCAGTTTAGGATGCAGTTTACAAAATTTACAACCAGTAATTGAGAGGAATCTCCATCAGAAAGAAGGTGTACTTCTAACACACTATTCCTAACAAAATATTGGTCCATGTAATCCAAAATGAACATAAACATTGTTTCTATATAGACCCTAAATGTACTATCCTGGGATTTGCAATCAAATTGTGATTTGAATGCAATAAAAATCTAGACTTAAGTATTTACTATCCCCCCTATGTAAAAAGGATCTCTTCACCAGAGTGGCATAAAAACATGTGCTATGACAATTGTTTTTAAAAACTGAAAAATATGGGTCTTAATCTATGATCTAAAAGTATTTGGTTGTTACTTAGTTATGAGCAATATTTTTTCCCCACTGCTCATTAAGAGCAACAAGGAAATCAAAGTCATTTAAGTGGAATGAAGAAAATAAGGGCACGTGATTGCCCTAGTAAATTAGATGCATCTTTTTTGCCTTGAACAGACACTTATATCTGTTTGGGCCCCTCTACAGGTGCAGCTAAGGTGTAATGAGATCCAATGTGTGATACATAATCACACTTCCTGCTATGCCACTTGCATGGCTGGAGGCACGATTGTGGGATTTTGTTCCTTATCACCGGTGCAGAGGGAGCACGGTACCTTGATCCTGGGCTCCCCCTGCACTGGCTTCCATAGCTGCGAGCCCTGCAGGTAACTGGGCTCAGAGCAGGGGCAGCTAGCCTGGTTAATCATGCCTTAAGTGTAATGTGAGGAGGGGGCCTTTAAGTCACTTCATTAGGACTTATTTCCCTTGCCTGCAACTTGCAGCTTTGAGTGTTAAAATGATTATTAAAATTGCTCTCAGCTTTTGTTCTGGTCTCATCTCACACAACAGCAACCAGAAGGAATAATGTCTTTCTTGGATGCTCATGTGAAAGTATTTGAGACTGCAGATTCTTGCAGCTTCTGTACCATATTTTGGTGCCTCAGAGTCCATTTCAAGTTCATTCTTTTATCTGATAATTATTAGGCTCTAAATAAAATGAGAAGAAACAGTGAAATAAAACATACTGCTAATATCCAAATAAAATTTGTTTGGGTGGCAACATGGCCAATCAGGATGAAATTGAATTGAAAAAGGCAGTCAGATTATGTTGCTTTTCATATAGTCTTGAAGCTTAAGGCACTGACTGATATTTCTGAGCAGGGCTGCATGAAGCTTCGGTTGCCAATTCGATTCGGAAGAGATTCGGCCCAATTCTGTTGCTGAATCTCCAAATCCGAATCGAATCGAACTGGGAGACCAAAAAAGGGTCCAAATTGATTTGAAGCCCCCAAATCAATTCGGAAAAGCTTTGGAGGAGATTCGGTGATTTGGGCAGTCCCTGCTCGCCGCCACAGACAGCTGGACCTGTCCTCTGGTAAGTAGAGGGCTGATAAATATGGGGTGGGGGGAGGTCTGAAGGAGTTGGGGAGGGACCATGGGGGAACCCCTGCCAGGCCCCATATCATGCCCATTTCCCCAGCCCCCCTGAGTGCTCTCCGACCCTCATCTGACCCTCATCCCCCTCTCCCAGCCTTGTCAATGGCTGCCCTGCCCAGCCCCAGTATCCCAGCACATAAAAAAATAAAAAATAAAAAGAATAAATAAAAGAAGCCCCGCATTCACCAGCTGCTGCAGTAGCTGTCGGGGCCTCTGGGGGCTCATGGCAGAGCCCCCCCCATGCAGCTGGGACGCTGGGGCTGGGTGGGGCAGCCATTGATGGGGCTGGGAGCATGGGCGGGGGATGGAACCTGTTCAATTTGGAGATTCAGCTGATTCGGCAGTGGCCAAATCTCCGAATCAGATTTGGCTGAATCAATTAGGGACAGTGATTTGAATCACTGAACTGAATCACTGTCCCCTGAATCATCCAAATCTGAATTTGAAGCGAATACTAGCCGCTTCACACAGGACTATTTCTGAGGTCTCCTAGTAACAAATATCCATAATTTCTCAGTACTGTTACCATGATATCAGGTCCACAGGCTGCTAAGAAAGGTGCACATCATTTTTTAAAAAATAAATGTTACTTTATCTTCTTTCTTTCATCTTCAAACTGTTTTACTTCAAGGTCTTTAAACCCCACCCCCTCTGTAACATAAACAGAGAGCGAAATGGAAAAAAAGACTGTGAGCATATTACAGTTCTTTTCCTGATTGTGCTTACTAATCAAGTGAGAAGTCTGGAGTTTGTATATGTACAAATGGAACACTTGAAGACTAGACACACACTTTTTGCATAAACCAGTTAGCTGTCAGTTTCACCATGGACATTTTCCATGTGCACTTTGAGGTAGTCATTTCTTGTAAATTTCTTGTGGCAGAGCTGGCATTCTGCCATTGGACGATTGGGATTGTGAGTCAGTTTGTGTCGGATCAGCATTTTCTTCAGGCTGAAGGACAAATCACAAACCTAAAGCATGGAAAACAAGAACAACTAATAAATCTTTAAAAACACAAAGTGGGTAAGTAACTTATTTTAAATCATGGTATTACAGATGACCTCCCATGATTATGCTTTTGCAAAACTGAAAACATAAGACTTTGGAACATGAACTCCCAACTCCTGTTATATTATACTGTTCTGTGATATTCTTCAACGTTCTTAAGTTAACAGTTGGCATTATGTGTATTAAAAAAAGAAAGGAGGCAAAAGCCTGACTGCACTGATGCCCATGAGTTTCTATGTTTATATTACAAACTAGTAGTGTAACTAGGGCAAGATGAAATAGGAAACCAGCCTTGGGTGCTGATTTTGAGGTGGGCACCAGCAGCATCCTGCAATGCTCTGAAACCCCACTCTCTAGGTCTCAGCACTCCCTGCTTCCACACTCCAGTGATTGTTTCACTAGTTTTGCCTCTTCACTGAAGTTTTGGCATTCACTGAAGTCTCTCTTTTTCTTGGGCACCAAGTCCACAGAGACCTAGGACTCATTTAATTCTGAGTATTATGGACTTTTACCCAAATGGGATACCTGTTGCAAGTTACAATGAACAAGACAGTTTATTAAACTACTGTTACTGATTATATCGTTTTTAAAGCCTAACTCCTATTTAAACAAACTGTGGCTCTATGATACTGTGAGGAAGGATAAAAACCTCACTAGGCTCCTCCCAATTAGGTCTCGAAGGAAAAAATTCCATCCTGCCCTGACACCCCAAAACAGGCAACCAGTCACACCCACAGCATCTTAGAAAATACAGCTTCAGAAGTCCTGCCACAGGGATGGAGTGTGGGGCAATTAAGGAAAGAAGAGCCTCTAAGGGCATTTTTACACGTGCTCCCAGACATGGCACCAGGCACTTTAATTCGAGAGCTGTGCCAATTAAAAGCGCCCGGGCGTCACGTGTATTAGCCTCACTGCACGTCCATGCATTGAAAAAATAGCTGTGGGGTGCTTTGAACTAAAGCTCTTTGGATGTGTTTTATTTCAAAGCACACCACCAACATTTTGTCAGCGTAGAGATATGTGGTGACACTGATACATGGCTGCCAGAGTACGTCAATTTCTGTGCTTCAGCAGACTCAATTAATTGGGTTTCCAGTGCATTGGAGGAGGCTCCCTACATGTGTGTAGGAGCCCTAAGGCTGTAAACAGACTTTGTATTTGCTCTGGGACAAAGCTTTTTGTTCTGAAATCCAGCAGACCTTCACACCCAATGTCATGCTTTAAGTACCAGAGAAGTATACCCTAGAAAATGTTCTAACAATTTTTCCATGTACATCATTGTGTCTAAGTCAACTGTGGTTCATTCATTCCCGAAACAAACTTATCAGGCTGTGTGCATTCCCTGACCAGGTATTGGCAGAGAAGAAGCAATGCAGCTTAAAAGGGTGTAAAGGGCTGAGCTGTTCCTGGTTTGATCTGAGTCAAAGCCTGGGACAGTAAGGACCACCTTAAATATGATGTCTGTTTATAACTTAAATGACCTGTGCAAGGTTTAACTCAATGGGAGGAGCAAGGGACAATCAGCTCCCATCTTCTTGCTGGCAGAGACAGCAGAAGAGATCATGTGCAAGCTGAGGCACCCCATTCCTTCCTTTCCCCCCTTTGGGAAGGCTATTTTCTCCCCTTCTGCAGGGCTGTCCAAACAAACCTCTCATCTGGTTAAGTGGTATTCTTGTGCTGAAAGCATTTTCTTATACAAGTACTTGCAGTGGTGGTAATGCAACTAGGAATAAAAAGGTCCTCCTGAATGTAAGGTTACAGGATCTGACTCTTAGGCAGCAAATGAGAGAGAATCTCTACATATCCTGACTGTTTTGTTTGCCTTCACGGAATCAAACTATAATGATTAATTAAAAGCTTCGTATGGTGCTTTGGAAACAAATTAAAATTAATTTAAGCATGTCAACTAACAAAAGGCAAGGAAGGATGAAAGGCAGTGAACTCTCAGGCACTTGCAACACATGTACTCTACAAAAAGGACTTTCACTGTTGGGAAACCTGAAACAAAAGAACATTTGTACAAAAATTTAACTGTTTTGTCAGCAATTTCCGTATTCTTCCTGCTACTATTTAATGTGGGTCAGAATAAAATTGTTCTTTCTCCACTCACAACATACTTTTTGTGTATGGTCACACAATAGAATCACAATGCTATGCTTATGGTATTAATGAAAAGGAACTACCTAGGTACTACACAAAAGGAAGGTGGCCAAAAACAGAAAAAAAATAAAACCGTCTTTATGGATTTCCTTTAAAGGAACAGTACAGGAGAAAAGAATTGTACATGTATGGAAACTCAGTATTATTTAATGGCATTTCTGAGCAGGACAACAGAGAGTTCTGATGTTAGAATACAGCTGCATAGGACCAAAGGAGGTCATTTAGTCCAAACACACTGAACTATACTGTAAATCATTTATATTGTATATCTGATTGTATATCTGTATCTGACCTACTATTGTAAATCATGAGCCTTTTGGCTCTGGACTAATATCATGCACAGCTGTTAGTCTCCACTGGGCTCTTTGAATATTGTGCATACTATTACTAATGCTATATGCATAGTTATAGTGGTATACATATAGTACAAACTATGCATATCGTTAGGTACAAACGTGTTACTTAGAAGTAAGTTTATGGGATACCTGTGCTCAAACTTGCAGCAGCTTCAAAAAAGATAAAATGCATCAATACTGGAGGCACTAAAGCTATGGGTACCTATAGTAATTGGCCTATATGCAAATTAGTACAGGTGTGTTTATGTCAAGGTCAGGGTTTTCAAATTTGCCCCTCAGTTCAGTAGGTGAGGGAGAGCAGAGCTTGACAATAGGTATGGTGGGAGGGGCTACAGGGGAAATAAGTTGGGGGGACGCAGAGGGCAAGGGTACTACCTGACCTCCAGATTTATTTTCACTGCTTTAGCCTGGGGGGGGAGCACAAATTCAAGGCAAACCTCCAATAATTAGATTCTATACCTATAACAAATTCATACATTTTCCATATATAGAATCTAATTATTGGGGGACTGTCTTATACTGAAGTAAGGTAGATCGTTCTGACCTGTGTTATAAATGCTTTTGGCAAAGTCAGAGGGTGGCAATGGAGAAAAAAGTAATAGTCAAAAGCAGTATTTTGTATCCAAAATAACTTATTTTTCCAAATAACGAGAACAGTATATGTCCTATTGTTATGGAACAGTTTTAAACTTAAGAGATGATGTCATACTGCTGATCTTTAGATAGGAAAGACAACATTTCAACCTTCTTTCATTTGTTTTCTTACTTCAGGCATCAGAGAACCTCATGACTCCTTCTGAGAATTAAAATTACTTAAGAGAACACTATTTGGGTCCTATTTTATTTCACTACTTTTCTTGAGCTGCTTTCTTCTACATTTTCAGACAACTCAGGAAGTTGTATCACTCAAAGCTTTGAGTGAACTGTGCCCATTGTACCAACACATCCCCTCACATAAAAAAAAAATCTCAAAATGGCAAAAATAAGGGAAGCAAGGTTCCATATTGAAATAAGTATACAGCCATGAAACCTACAATAAAGATGTACCCATAAGCGTGTATATAATGTTTTGTGTCACGCATATCTGTACGCTGTATACAATATACCAGTGTTTCCCAAAGTTTGTGGGGTTACATCCTAGCATAGCACCATTCTTGGTCCCTTTCCCCACTTCAGCCCATATTGTTGTCCCCACCCCTCCAACCGCATTGCTCCTTGTTGCCAACAAAGGGAATCAGTGACAGTCAGCAGCTGTGCTTCACATATGCTCCTCCTGGAACCTTTGCACCTCCCCACGGGGTGTGCCCCACATTTTGAGCAATGCTCAAAAGACCTATGTCAAAGGTAACTTCCGCTACAGTAATTCCTGATGCATTTCAACTGAGCAGCAGTGACAGCTTGAGAGCTGTTAGTTACTAGTGTTGTTCCTCAAGGGAAGTTACTTAAGAGTCATGCAATCCATATGGACATGCCCTTCAAACCTTGAGTTCACAGAATTTTTTTTAGCAGTATACCCATAAAAAGGGGATGGAGCATGGCAATGCAGAATGTGCATATGTAGCACCTGCTCTCAAGGCCTCCTAGGCAGCACAGTGCTTTCTTGGTAAAGATGGATATGGAACTCTGGGTGGCTGCCTTGAAGACATCTGGACCAGAGATGTTCACATGGGACTTCACTGTGCAGACAGATGACAGAAGTACACAGGCAATGCTGTTTGGCTGACCCAGACCCTATTTGGCAGGGTCAACTTCTGTCTCCCTGCAGAACAATGTGGGATTGTGATGTTCTGCTCCCTGCTCTGCTACAGTAAAAGAGTCCAGCCTGGGTGACACTGTGGGACTGCCCCAGAGAAACTAAATGTCTGTAGATGGCCTAAGACTCATTGGTTGTAAAGTTGTTCTGCAGTGTAAAAGTACCTTGAAATGCTTATGGAAAAGTCTCCTGAGCTGGGTTGATAAAACTTTGATTTACGTTCTGAAAGCAGCAAAACACTTAAGCAGGTAATTATCTAACCATAATAAACAATGTCACTTTTATATCACATAATTTATCAATAGTTCTAAAGGCACTTTACAAAGAAGAGTCATTTGCAACACTTCTCTATCATTATTGTCATTTTAAGACTAGGGGAAACTGAGGTAAAGGAAGACAAGTGACTAGTTTATCCAGTGACAGTTGGAAATAGAATCTGTATCTTGAATCCTACGTTCTTTCAACAGGGCCGTATTGCTTCTCACATGTTGCTGAATCAGGACAAACTCCAAAATAATCCCACTATACTTTGAAATTAAAAGGTTTATGGTAGTTTTGGTATATATTATTTCAATGGCCACAGAATGATTGAATTTAGCATTGTGTGCCACTGGCTTTGCTTTCAAGGCTGTAATTGTTTTTGTTGTTCTGAGAAGGAACTTAAAATACGCAAGAAAGCGACTATTATTTGCATATGAATCTTGTTTTTATGTATCCTAGGTAACTGTAAATATTTTTTTAAAGAGTTTGCTTTTTATGTTAATTTTATAACTTACCCATGACATTTCACTGATCACAAACACTCCTGTTTCTATTCATCTGGACTTTTAGTCAGTTTCCTTATAATGTTTAAAGTTTTGATTTAGTGTGGAGGTGGGGACACTTGACACATGAAGGCATGTTTAGGGTCAACTGAAAGCACAGTGTGAAGAGATCATGCTTTACTGGAAATAAACCAGGAGTGCCATTCTGGAGAATTATCTGCTATCTATAAGGCAGCTACAGGTCATCGGCTTTTTTTTTTTTTTTTTTTTTATAAAAACAGGAAG